TCAAAGATTATTTAAGAATTGCAATCATTCAGATTAAGTTAGGATTAGACCTCGCTACACCAGTCGATATTAACAGATAAATATACACAATGTTAAGTTGTTTTTAATTAATAATATAGTTTTCACTGAGAATGTGACAGGTACGGTGAAATGCCTACATGTATCATCGTCTTTGTACAAAACTTTTTCACTAGACTCTAAATTACATGTACGCACTGAAAAAAATAATTATATTTGTAATTCATAATATTTACAGCATTCAATGTTTTTACAATTATAGTTTGATAACAAATCGTTTTATTACTGACAAATAAATCCAGTTATTGATTTGAAGAAAAAAAATGATTAAATTGTGTATGATTTCTGTAATCGGATTGATTTTCTTTCCTTTCCTTTTTTTTTTTTTTAATTATTGATTGATTTATTCATTTTTTTGATTTAGTAAATAAATACTTTCATGTGATTGAATTAGATCCTGTTTATAATTTGCAAAGGTAATATGTATACTAAATCAAATAAGAACATTGTGCAGGGGGGGGGGGGGGGTTAGATTACCGAGATCTTACTTCTGTTCATGGCTAAATATAACTATATAACTGGCACTTGTTTCAGTAAGTATACCACTGGGAAAAAATTATTACAGAAACAAATGCCCGTTCTAAGAAAAAAAGGATATCCATATCTCCAGCGGGACCAGATACATGTAATTCATTAACTGCAATTCAATTAGAGTGGTAAATATATCGCTTCATTACAGAATCAAACTTTGACTTATCATTAAAATTTAATATGGTAGAGAAGCCGGGGGAATAGGTATTGTAATGCTTTAGTTCTCCATTTTGAGGCATTGTGTTTATCAAATAAAAACAATATACCCACCACCTTGTAAAATCCTTGATTTCAAATCCCGTCTAGCCAAAAAAAAAAATGTAATCAATAGTCGCGGCTCTTAACAATACATTGAATATACATGAATACATGTCCAGTGTCCTAAAAACTAAAAAATATGCTCTAGAACTGCGTGATTAATAAAATAACTAATATATAATTACTCCGGATTTTTTTCTTTATATTTTATTATTCACGAATACACTGGCAAATCAATTCACTGTTTACAGAGAATCGATAAATTTAAGAAATAAAATCCACGAGTATTTATTTTTACCCTTTAAATACTAATACAACTATTAAATTTCACGAATTAAAAATCAATCGTAATTGTCGGGTGTCATCTTAGCCATGATTGACAAAAGATAATACATGTACATGTAGCAGAACAAGTTTTCAGTTCCCGGCACGCGGAGCCCGTGGTCGCTGTTGTAAATGACCTTGATCACAGTCGTAAGAAGAGTGTCGGAAGTGTAAAGAAGATTCCTATACATTTTTAAGGGGTGCATCAAGCGCACCCCGAAAAAAAAAACAGTATTTTCTTTAAAAAGAAAATCATCTATAAAAACATGTTTAATAACAAAAACTCAAAGTTTGTGTTTACATTTGAACACCCCCCCCCCTTCCCCGGAAATTTGCCGATGCATGTGAATTATGATTCATTTATAAGACAATTATTAATCAACCAATTTTATGCATAAAAGGACTATAAGTGACTCATCGTTTAAAAATTATTTGTATCACAATCTTTAATAGAAGAAAATTATTTTCGTTTATAAAGAAAAAAAAATAATTGTGCTCCCCAGCCTAGAATTCCCGTACTTAACATTTATAGCAACGCAATAAACTTAGTATTTTATATTTCACGCCTGCCTTATCTATCTACTATTTTGCATTAATCACCCATATGTTTTTGTAATATCTATATACCACAACTGTAAAATGGTGAAGAGATTCAAATAAATGAATGAAAAGGACGAGACCGGATTATTGATGATTTTTTTAAAACGATGTTCAGTATTGCTCCCTTTAAAAAAAAAAATGTATTGAATACCTTAAAATTGATGTGCGTATAATTAATTACTTTGAACATATTCTCTTTCCTTCTTTATTTAAATAAAAAAAGAATAAAAATCAAACAAATATGTAATACATGTACATTACCGAGTAATTTTATTTTGTTGTTTCCTAATTTTTTCTCTCTTAAAATACCACCGGTATAATATATTCGAATAATATTAGTTACAAACAACACAGAATGACATGTTGATCCATCAATAGCCATATTTAAAATAAAATGAGTTCCGAATGAATCCTACACGTTTCTCACACGATTCTTGCACGAAAGTCGCACGTTTCTCACACGGTTCTTACACGAAAGTCGCACGTTTCTCACACGCTTCTCGCACGCTCGCTACACGGTTTGCACGAAACGCTTTGGAGCTTACACGAAACGCTGCATGGTTTACACGAAAAGCTACACGGTTTACACGTAACGCTACACGGTTTGCACGAAACGAAAAGCGCACGAAAGTCACACGCTTTTTTGGGGTAGTAGCACGTTTCAGGGTCTGTAATTAAAATTATCATACTGCAATATTTACATTTGCTGTGTTTTTCTACTAAGCCAACTATGAAATTGATTTGAAAGTCATTTTTGTGTATACTCACGCGTAGAGATTTACACGGTGAAGCTAGCGTGCTTCATGAAATATGCCTACGTGACAAGTGTGTGTGATTTACAAACCAATAACACACACAAAACTTAAAAACATTCCTTAAATATGTATATCAAAAAGGAATCTTTTCGTCTTGTCCAAAAAACGTTTCGCATTTTTAAACAATCCTATCAGGTTTTGTTTTTATCCTATCATGAAGATCATTTATCAGGTCTATTGTGTTTTGCATTTATCTTGTTTTGCGTTTATCCTATCATGCGTGTATCCTGTCGTATATTGCGTGTATCCTATCGTATCGTGAATTGTTAACAAGGTTGTATTATATTCAGGTGACCATTAACGCCCTTGGGCCTCTTGTCTTGGTTACTATAAGTTACTTATTTTTATCACATTATCCTTTATACAGTGGATATAGCTCTTAGGATATCATTTTCATATTGTGATGTCACGGTGGTTTTTGCGTGAATTTGATAAGTCAAATATTATAGATTTACATACCTAAAACAGTGTAAAACAGGAATTAATTATGTGTAAAACATGTGATAAGAAAAATCTACCAAGGTTTATGGTTGGATATGATTTTTTAGCTCACCTGAGCCGAAGGCTCAAGTGAGCTTTTCTGATCGAAATTTGTCCGTTGTCTGTCGTCGTTGGCGTTGTCGTAAACTTTTCACATTTTCATCTTCTTCTCCAGAACTACTAGGCCAAATTCAATCAAACTTGGCACAAAATATCCATGGGTGAAGGGAATTCAAGTTTGTTCAAATGAAGGGCCACGCCCCCCTCCAAGGGGAGATAATTACGAAATAGCAAAAAATTAATGGCATTATTGAAAAATCTTCTTCTCAAGAACCAATGGGCCAGGAAAGACGAAACTCATGTGGAATTATTGTCAGGTAGTGTAGACTCAAATTTGTTCAAATCATGACCCCCGGGGGTAGGGTGGGGCCACAATGGACGATCAAAGTTTTACGTAATAATTTATAGGAAAAATCTTCTTCTCAAGAACAGCAAAGCTATGATTGGTCATATTTATATGGAAGCATCCTCAGGTGGTGTAGATTCAAGTTTGTTCAAATCATGACCTCCATGGGTAGGGTGGGGCCACAATGAAAGTTCAAACTTGTAGAGAAAAAAGTCACAGTTTGTCAAAAAATCATGTAAGCATCCTTAGTTAGTGTAGATTTAATTTTGTTCATATCATACCCCCCCCCCCCCCACTCCCTTTTAGGGGTAGGTTGGGGCCACTTATGCATTTTAGCTTTTCAATACTAAGCAGATTTTTCCTCTTTTCCTAGCCACAGTGCTCAGGTGAGCGATGTGGCCCCTGGGCCTCTTGTTTTTATCCAACTTGTTGTGTGCCCCACTCCAAGGCTCGGGGATAAAACACACAACTCCTTGGATAAAAAATCATATCCAACCACAAAACATGGGAGATCTAATATATACTCTTCAAAGACAAAGTAAAAGAGCTGAAAAAAATATTTCTACGCAGAAAATGTTTAATCTCATTTTATTCTACTCTCAGTTGTTTCTCTTTGAATTTATTTTTCCCCATATAATTGATGATTAATTAAAGGAAACCAATCATTGATTAGGATTAATCCTCTTCCCCTCACTTTATCTCTTTATAGTCAGAACTACTGCTCAACAACATTTTTTTCAGAATACATGAAAACCATGAGCAAATCTTCAAAGTTTTAAAAACAAAAACAAAAGAAAACAAACCCAGCTTAAAACACGTTTGCACCTTATATTTGTTGTGATAAATATGACCTTTAATTAACCAGACTTTTAATTTAATATTTGTACACTTAACATAGCTGTTCTTTTTTTTTTTTAAATTTACTTTCGATATAAACTATAGGTCCTTGTCACATTTTTGGTTAACCAAAAAAACTATATGTTTGTCTCTTAGAAAATGCTAACATTGCTAGTTTATAGATGAATATATACTTTCAATGCTAAAGGGTGAGATCAAAAGATTGTCTGATAAATAATTTTATAAAAAATTCAAATAAGGAGAGGGGGATAATGAGGCCAATTTTTTTTTTTCAATTTGGTAATTACACAAAACGTGCATATTGTACGTGAGAATTAATGTTATTGGTACTTTCCATGCATAAGCAAAAGAAATATGTTATATATTATATACATTTACATGGAACAGGTTAATAAATATTTAGTATGCATCAGTGATGATGAAATTTCAATTAATTATACAGTCATGTTTATGTTCATTACGGGATGAAAATTGAAAGGGGGGGGGGGGGATCTTCTTGAAAACTATGAATTTAGTTTATTGTCAGACATTCAATTTAATCTCTTTTAGCATTTTAATAAGAAGTATTGCTGTCTGTAATTCAACTCATGTATCTAAATTACACTTGGTGATGATGATTTGTAATGATTTTTTTCTTTTTAATTCTTTAGTAAAGGGGAGAAAAAGGGAATACCATTCATTGATGACTACATATCAACCCAAGAACAGGTATTGAGAACTTTGAAAAAAAAAAAATTTCCAAAGTGAATTAACTTCGGCCCAAATTTAACACAATTAAAAAAAAAATTTCAATGTGCGTAATTTTACAAAATGTGTGGTAACAGAGGGGTCTTTGACATGCAAACAACTCAGTCACGGTGCCTCAGTTCAAGGTCTCATCTGAGAGACCTGCAACTTAAATTTACAAGTACCAAACGTTTGGTGAAGGAACGTATGCTACATATGTACCAATTATTTTTATTGACTAAGGTTTGCAGCCAGGGCATGAACCTGAGATCACAGAGTGAAAACTCTACCAACTGATTGAGCTATGTGATAGTACTAGGAATTGATACTACCAAACTTGCTTTGGATGCTGGATCTGACATGCATTTTCCAGATGAGTGACCAGGTTAAAGTTTTTGGAGCAGGTCCATTCCCAAGTAACTGTAAGACATATCTGGACCAAACTTGCATGGATGATGCATCTAGGGATGGACACTACCAGACATGCTTCAGATGCTGGATCTGACATACATTTTCCAGATGAGTGACCTGCCCTTGAGACCATAAACTGAGAACAGACTTAAGTCAAAATTTTGAAAATTTTGATTTTGAATATCTTGAATTTTATTTAACATATGTGCTTAAAAATTTGCAGGTTTGTATAATATTTTAATTTAAACATATGATGAAAATTTTGTTTTGTTCTGAAGATTATTTCAAAAGTTATATTGATTCGAAATTTTGACTTAAGTCTGTTCTCAGTTTATGGTCTTGGGGCCAGGTTAAAGTGTTTGGAGCAGGTCCATTCCCAAGTAACTATAAACCCTACCTGGACCAAACCTGCATGGATGATGCATCTAGGGATGGACACTACCACACTTGCTTCTGATGCTGGATCTACCTACATTTACCAAATGAGTGACCATGGCAATGTTTTTTGGAGTAGCTCTATAATTATATGGCCTGTTATGATTTGACTTTCATGGATGATGCATCTAAGGATGGACAATTCCAGACTTGCTTCAGATGTAGGAAATGAAAGGCATTTTCTTGATTAGTGAACAGGTTATAATTTTTGGAACAGGTTAATTCTCAATGAACTATAAGACCTACTTACACAGAACTTGCATGAATGTTGTTTTCAGGATGCACAGTAACTATAAAGAAAATATGATGTGAGATTTGCATTACTTATACTGATAACATTCGTCAAGATGAGCTTTGTAATCTTTCATTACCTATGTTTGTTAGGTACACACATCCAGATTCCCTGTAAAGAAACTCTGCTGAACTATCACAACATTTATCATAAGCTAAAAATGTAATTGGAAGAAATCATCTTTTTCAGGTGGTAGACTATTTGACTCAGTGGTCTGGGATAAGTCCAGGTGACCTGAATCCAGAGCTGTCCAGTAAACATCTGACCACACTTAAATCCACCTACGTTAAACTTCGCTATCTGGTAGACATGAAAGTAGTGTTTGTGGGACATGGTCTGAAGAAGGATTTCAGAGTTATCAACATCACTGTAAGTTTTCCATGAGCGCTGTACTTTATTTATCTTAAGGAGGTCAACTTATTAGCAACTAAATTTTAAAGTGCTATTTTTTCCAACTGCCAAGGAAAGTTCATTTTTTATTGAAGTCTCACAAATTTTCATCTTGATTATAACCTTTAATCTACTTTGAATGTCAAAGTGCTAATTTTCCTAACTAAAGATTGTTCTTGTCATTATGTCATTAGCTTTGAACCTTAAGTTGAATTAATTGTAGACTGTAATATCTGATTTTAACAGGTTCCTAAGGACCAGATTGTGGATACTGTGCAACTTTTTTATATACCAAGACAAAGAATGATCTCATTGAAATATCTAGCATGGTATTTTCTCAGTAAGTAATCTTAGTACATATCCAGACCGTGGAGTAACCTGTGGCCCGTTTTACTAAAGAACTTACGACTAAGACCAAAATTTAATTCTGCTTATAACTGTCTAATTTACATGAAATAAAAATGGTTTTATTATTGTTTAAATGGAATGTAGTAAGATATTTTTATTCTAGCAAAATCATTATTTTTGCAAAATTTTACAATCAATGAAAGTTTTTGGTCTTAGTCGTATTACTAATTTCTTTAATTTGTAAAATTGTCCCCTGATTATTGTGTCTGGAACACGGAGGCTTCACTGTACTTTACTTTATTAATCATATTTTTAGCTCACCTGTGCCGAAGGCTCAAGTGAGCTTTTCTGATCAAAATTTGTCCGTTGTCTGTTCGGCGTTGTTGTTGTTGTTAACTTTTCACATTTTCATCTTCTTCTCAAGAACCACTGAGCCAATTTCAACCAAACTTAATTGCCACAAGGTATCCTTGGGTAAAGAGGATTCAAGTTTGTTCAAATGAAGGGCCACACCTTCTTCCAAGGGGAGATAATTATGATTTTGTGAAAAATTAATGGCATCATTTAAAATCTTCTTCTCAAGAAAAACTGTGCTTGAAAACATGAAACTTATGTGGAATCATTGTGAGGTTGTGTAAATTCAGATTTGTTCAAATCATAACCTCTACGGGTAGGGTGGGGCCACATTGGGTGATAAAAATTTTACATAGGAATACATAAGAAAAATCTTTAAAAATCTTCTTCTTAAGAACAGCAAAGCCATGATTGATCATATTTATATGAAAGCATCCTCAGGTAGTGTAGATTTAAATTTGTTCAAATCATGACCCAGTGGGTTAGGGTGGGGCCACAGTGGGCGATAAAAGTTTTACATAGGAATTCATAGGGAAAATCTTTAAAAATCTTCTCAAGAACAGCAAACCCATAATTGGTCATATTTATAGGGAAACATCAATAGGTAGTGTAGATTCAAGTCTGTTCAAATCCTGACCCCTAGGGGTAGGGTGGGGCCACAATGGGCGATCAAAGTTTTATATAGGAATACATAGGAAAAATCTTTTAAAATCTTCTCAAGAACAGCAAAGCCATGATTGGTTATATTTATATGAAAGCATCCTCAGGTAGTGTAGATTCAAATTTGTTCAAATCATGACCCCTGGGGGTATGGTGGGGCCACAATAGGCGATCAAAGTTTTACATAGGGAAAATCTTTAAAAATCTTCTCAAGAACAGCAAACCCATAATTGGTCATATTTATATGAAAGCATCTTCAGTAGTGATGAAACGATTGTCGCTGACAGTCGATTGTTTGGAGCTCTTTGATGCTACTAATTGATTATGAAATGAAAGTCGCCGACATCGCTGACAAAAATTTAAAGGGTTAATTTGTGTGTAAACTTCAAATTTTATTACCAAAAAGACATTTGCAGACATTTTAAAAGTTATCCTGAATGTTTAAAATGTAAAAACCTTTTTCACTTTACTTCAACGTTTATTGTTGACAATTTTTTCAGCCATGATTGAATTTAAGGTCAGGCTAATAACAGGAAATGGCCAGAGTGATGGGGTTCTACTATAATCAGAAATACACAAACAGTACAGAAGTTCTATAAACTTATTTATTAACAATTTTATAAGTCCAAGTGAAATTAGACAAAGTAATTCCAAGAAAATAAATAATAGAAGGTGTGATTAATATCAGTAATGTTCCTACTTACATACATGTATTAATTTTTTTTAATGAAGCATCTTGCAGAAATTTAACTCTTATTTTCAATTTTACTGAGAGAAAATAAAGAATTAGAATACTTTGTCATTAAACAAATTTACTGAAAAAAATTGTTCTGTTTATTTATATATATTACTGACTTTATTTAGTACTTATTAAACTCTGAATAGAAATAGGATACATATGTTGTTTTTATACACCCGTCTTTAGAGGGGACATATTATGTTATGGCGTTCATGTCCGTTCGTCTGTTAGCTTTTTTCGTGTCCGGCTCATAACTTTAATACTATTAGGCCTAGGATTATCAAATTTTGTCAGCTGATACTTCTTGGGTAGAAGGTGTGTCACACATTGAAAGTAGGTCGCTCTGACCTTTAATTAAGATGTTATGGCCAAATATGGAAAAATCCTGTCCGGCTCATAACTAGAAAACTATTAGACTTAGAATCATCAAACTTGGCCAATTTATGCATCTTAGGTAGAAGGTGTGTCGTGACCTATTTCAAGGTCACTGTTACCTTTAATTAAGTGAAATTTTTTTTTTAAAAACCTGTCTTTTTACTATTAGATTACACAATCCCAAAAAATGCAAGAGTGTTGCAGTATCCTTATTTAAAAAAATGTTAAATCAAGAAAATACTTATATTTTTCATTTTATACTTTACAGCAATCTATAACAAATGTAATGTTACAAGGAAAAATTCCACCTCTCCCATGGGTGTAATTATCAAGCACTGGTCAAGAAGAATTTGATAACAGAAAATTGCATGTCAAATTAAAGAGAAATTAATGAGTTTAGTGTGAGGAGCCAACTGGTAGAGCATCTCTGATCAAGCAGGTGTTATCTATATCTCTTGGAAACTGGGCAAAAAGAATCAGCCGTGTTGGATAAAATAGTTGGCTAGCCTAACTTTTAAAATGAATTTGGTGAAAAGTAATTAAAATTTATTTGATATTGTATAATAAATTTTAATTTAAATAATATAACTAATATAATTATAATAAAATATAATTAAAACTAATTATACTCGGGAGAAAGGGGGGGGGTGATATTGGAATCAGCATGCCCGTTGTCCGTATGAATTGCAGCTTAAAACCAGTCTGATACTAGATCTAAAAAAAAATCAAGTATTTAAAAAAAAATGTTCTAATTATGGTAGATAGTCCCTACAAATCTAAGAGTAATGCAGGAACCTTATTAAAAATGTTGCATCAAGATTGCACAAGTTTTTTGTTTCTTTTTATAAATCTTTGTAACAAATTTTAAAAAAAATCTTTTTGTTTCATTTTATAAATCTTTGTAACAAATTTAAAAAAAAATCTTTGTTTTAAAATTTAATTTCAGAATGACATAAATATGCATTTTTATTGCGCTACAAAGCAGATAGTATGTATAGATCCATTCATCCATTGGGACTAATGAGTAGACATGCATCCAGTTAAAGATTAATTAATGAGTTCAGTGTAGGGAGGCTAGCTGTCTCAATCATTTCTGTTAGAGGATCTCTGATCAAGCAGTTCTTATCTGTATCCTTTTTCCTAGCCAAAGTGCTCAGGTGAGCAATGTGGCCCCTGAGCCTCTTGTTTGTCTTGTGTACTTACCTAAATTAAACGAATTACAGTTATTAGTTTTTGTTTTTTTATCCCTCCCCCCCCAAAAAAAATTGCGTACTGAAATGACAAGTATTTGTGTTTTTTGGCTTTTTATAGAAACGACAATACAATCATCTACCCATGACTCTGTAGAAGATGCAAACACAGCCCTACAGCTGTATGACAAATACCAAGAAGTAGCCAGTGAGGGCAGCGACAAAATAAGGGCAGTTATCAAGGAAATGTACGACATCGGCCGAAGAGACCAATGGAAGATCCCAGATGTGGAGGACACAGAAAATCCCCTAGACATGCTCCAATTCCCAGGAAACAACAACCAATAGATAATCAGTTGTCTGTCATGGTCGAGTTCACACTGAGTAAATCTCACAATTAAGATTTTAAGTTAAATATAACGTGTTACTCATGTACATGAATGTTTCCTTGTAGAGTGTATTTGATTTTCTGTTTTTACTGAATTAACCTGAGATTTTGGTTCTCTTTTAAAGATTTTAAAACTTGGTTGTTCTTGTGTGCCAAGTTTAGGAATATGTTGTTAGAAAAATATAATACTTTTACTCCAATTAGTTTTGATATATATATATTTTGAATTGTCTAATGTGTAATAAATTGTAAAATAAATAAAGATGGGGTACATATAAATAAATAGACTTAATATTGGTCTTGTTTCAGAAAAGATGATGGAAGAATGAGGGAATAACATTAAAATTTAGGCCATTAACAGACTCTTTCTATGGGCACAACATAACCTGTTCATTTGAATTAAGGAAATAGACAAAGATGTTTGAAGAAACTCCAAACCTTAATAATGTAAAAGGTGAAGATACTGAACAGTGATCAATCTCAGAAATGCAGTAGACAAATCATGAATGGGGCCAAAAAAAAAAAACGGACCTGCAGAAAAGCAAAGGTGGAATCAGGTTTATAGGAGGAATAAGAATTCCCTGTCCACTGGTCACACCTGCTGTGAAGCCTATGAATGATCCACAGGCACTTGTTTCTGTAATAAATTTTTGACCCATAGTATAATAATAACACAAGGTATCCAACTCCGTATTACATGGAGTACCCCCACCCTCAGAATCGCACTCATTTACAATTCAGAGATCATGCACTGGCAAACTGTTTATACCTTGCCTTCTAAGATAATTTATCTACACAACCATATATGGCATGCGTGTCTTTATTTTCTTTTATCCCCGTAAACAGTGTCAAAACTCTGCGCGCCGAGTGGAAAAGTCGAACTTGACCATGAAATGGTATGTGCTAATCCCGGGCAGAGAGCAAAATTTAAAAAAAATGAGTGAGTTTAAAAATTCAATTCCAGTGTTTAAATATTGCAGTGAATAAATAAAATTTGTTTACCTCTCATTTTCCATTAAAGCACTACGATATTTTTCTGATGTAATTTTAAAAACAGATTTTTAGCCAATCAGAATCTCTGCTCGGGATTAGCACATACCATTTCATGGTTGAGTTCAACTTTTCCACTCATCGAGCAGAGTTTTGACCCTGTTTACGGGGATAAAAGAAAATAAAGACAGGCATGCCGTATATGGTTGCGTAGATAAATTATCGTAGAAGACATAGGTATAAACAGTTTGCCAGTGCATATCCTCTGAAATTGTAAATGAGTGCAATTCTGAGGGAGGGGGTACTCTGTGTAATACGGAGTTGGATACCTTGTGTTATTATTATACTTTGGGTCAAAAATTTATTACAGAAACAAGTGCCTGTGCATGGTTTGATTACGTTTACGGAGTACTCCATAGTCAAATTTAGTATAAAAGCAATGATCTAACTAAAAAGTATGAACGTGCGAGACAAAATACACGTATGCCCCAGTGATAAGTTTTTTTTAAATTTTGCAAACAAGGTCATAATAACGACCATAGAATTTGTAAAAGCTGAATTAAACAGTTGTTGAAATCCTTGTTTTATAAACTTATTTGTTAGTAGCTTGCATTGGTCTGTTGGATTGTTGTTTAACATCCCTCTCGAGAATTTTTCTATCATATGGAGATGCCACCATTTGCCGGTGGAGAGCTGTAAATTTTGACCTGTACTCGGCCTTCAGGGCCATTGAGCAGTGAGGGATATGTTTCGTGCCAGCACCAACTGCGACACGGGACCTCAAGTTTATATGGTCTCATCCGAAGGACCGGTCTCCACATCCCACAGTGGGATTTGAACACTCGAAGTATGGATCAACTCCTTGCTCCGCGATGCTAGAGCGAACGCTCTAACCACTGCACCTCGCAGGCAATGCTTCGGTTTGAAAATTGATTATACTCGAAGAATTTTCATTTGCCGCATCACATTAAATATAAGACATAAACACAGGAAATAACTTTTTCTTTGCCAAGTACCAGGCATCAGAAGTAAAAGTCATGGTCTTTCAGATAAAACCTTAAAAACTGAGGGTAGAGTAGGTGTTGGCATGATAAAAAAAAAAAAAAAACCTCAATGTGCAATGGCCCAGAGTGCTGAGTATACATCTAAATTTGAAGGCCCTTTTCACCAGTTTATGGGGACGTGTCTAAATGTATGAGTGAAAATCGGATGTAAAAAACAAAATACAGTGAATTATGCTTGGAGCATGCTTTTGCTTTTCGAATCAATTGGGAGACAAAGACCCTATATAGGTGATTTTGTAATATTACTACTTAGATTAGAGAAGAAGATGATGGGAAGCTGAAATTTCTATATTTGACTGAACTTTTATACTAGCATACTCGTAATGTTAATATGGTATTGAGTGCATACGTATTATGAAGTAAGGACAATACTCGATTGTTATGTATACTGAATTGTTACTGTGTACATTGACATTTTATTCTTAAAAAGAAGATTAAGTGTTTTAATTGCCAAATGTGTTATTTCAATCTTTGAGTTGTGATCATGAAAATCGTGAAACTGTTGTGTACATTGCCCGTGTAAATTTTTATTCACATAGTATTCCGTATTATACTATGCACCCAGGAGGCATTGCAAAGTTAAATCCACGTGGTTCTTCAATGTTGAATCGATGCTGAATTTTAGTTGCATATGAAAGTTGAAACATTATTGTTTCTGGAACGTTTCTATATGAACAGTCATAGTTAGTTGATTGTCGTTTTACCACAAATTATTTTAAAAAATGGTTGAATAATGTTGATCTAAAGCTGAACACGACTCGTAAATAGTCATATGCCATATTGTCCTATCACCGAAATCAGCACTAGGATATATATATATATATATATATATATATATATATATATATATATATATATATATATATATATATATACATTTTTAATATCCCTGTAACATCAACGTATTTATCGGTACCTACCTCGGTTCAAAATTGTTCACCCAGATATGAAACAGATGTAGCAGACTTTGGGTGCCTTTTATTTCGAGTTCACTGGGATATACTGAGTCAACATGTGATGATTGGAAGAAGCTGTTGTTTATTGAAAGAACGTGGTCAATATATCTGAATGCCGAGTTGAAGGTCACTGCAATTATTTTTTTTCTCATGTGATAGGTTTTGAATATATTCTTCATAGGAAAACATGCTAGCTATTAAAGTAGCAGAACTAGTGCCCTTCCTAATTCCAAAGTTTGGTGGAAGACCTCGTCTCCAAAGACTACATAGATGATTTAGTATAAATTCTGCTTCATCGGGATATAAAACAGATCCGCTAATAAAGGAGCGCAGTTAGTGTCCATCGAAATTTCAACAGATCGGAAGACTTGGTCTTCTAAGACTACATAGTCTTGTTCAATGAGGAACTCCACCAACTTTTTAATATCAAACTCAGAGAACTTGTGTGTAGAATCAGTTATTTTTCTTTTTACAAAGTAATTTTGTAAATGACTAATCACGAGATATGAAAATTTTCGAGTTCCATTTTTATTGAAGAAGCAGTTTTATGAAATCAAAAAGCCTAGTTTTTAATCAATCGCGAAAAATGGTTGAATTAAGTGATGGAAAAGTCATACATTTTGATATTACTCACCTTTGAAAACTTTTGTGATTTTAAATCATGGAACATGAATTCAGATGGAGATCTGGCTGAATTTTGAGAAATAAATGCATGCATTTACAATAGGAAGCTTCATTTTCCCACATATGAATATATACATGTATACAGCAGAGATGAAAAAAGCACGGACCTCAGCTATAAAAGAGTAAATTGAAAAGAAAGCAAACTTAAACCACCGTCTCCTTTTTTGGAAAAATTGAAAATCAAACCAGCGAAACTGAATTGTGAAATCAGAACACATAAAGTACAATAAAAAAAACAAGATATGTTTGTGAAACACCAATGCTCCCGTATGGCAACTTATAGCAAAGATTAAACCTTCTCAAATGCAAATCAAATATGTTGGTACCCAAAGTAATGTCGTGTCTCGAGGAATATACCTTTGAAAAATGAAAGCCCTAGCAGCAACCATTGAATAGATATGGAAAAGGTTAAAGTTTTTCAAAAGTAAGTCAAACATCAAGATCAAGGTCAAATGATCAAAATTAATGGTGCCCAAGGAAGGGCCTTCTCACAAGGAATACACTTGTGAAATATGAAAACCGTAGCACCAATCGTTCAAAAGTTATTGTCAAGGTTAAAGTTTTTCAAAGAAGGTCAAACTCAAAAGTCAAGGTCAATGGACTACAATTGTTGGTATCCAAAGCAAGATCTTGTCAAAAGGACTAGACATGTTAAATATGAAGGCCCTAGCACCAACTTTTCAAAAGTTATGTCCAAGGTTAAAGTTTTCCAAAAGTAGGTCAAACTTCAAAGTCAAAGATGTTGGTATCCAAAGGAAGGTCTTGTCACAAGGATTATATTTGTAAAGGATGAAAGCCCTAGCACCAACCGTTCAAAACTTATGGCCAATGTTAAAGTTTTTCAAAACTAGGTCAAACTCCTGGGTCAAGGTCAAAGGGTCAAAGTTGTTGGTATCCAAAGGAAGGTCTTGTCACAAGGATTACACATTTGAAGTACGAAAGCTCTTGCATCACCCGTTCAAAAGGTATGGCAAAGGTTAAATTTCGGTAAACCCTGAGCAAAAGAAGATCTATTAAAGCTTAACCCATCAAAGAATAGAAAAAAAATATTGATAAGGCTAGAGGAACAACTACATTGATGGAACAAACACTTTGAAGAAGTACTTAACACACAAAACACCAGAGAAACAAACATCAGTTTACCTAGAAAAAGGCTTGAAACGGGCAGGAAATTCAATTCAACAAGCATGGAAACAGTTTCTAAAATGAGGCAAGCTATTGACAAATAAGAAGATGATACAAGGAAACAATTTCGTCTGAAGTCAACTTCGTAAATTCTGTAGCCGATCGATACAATGACCTTCTAAGCAAATATAATGTATCGTTAAGTTGAATATTGACTGACGTTTTCATACAAGTTGCTGCTTTCAACAGTCTCAATTAATCAAAGTCAGCAATTTGAAAGTTCTTGAGTTATTATAATGAACTTATAAGCATTTAATTTTTCTTATTTTGTAAAATTATACATTTTTTTAAATTTTAGAATCTTAATAGCTTTTTCAACTTTGCAAAAAAACTATGAAGACCATAATTTTTTTTTTATATAAATATGGAATATAATTCAGTAGTATG